TACTTGTGAACTTTGAATGACCTTTAATTTATGTTCCTCTTGTCTCTACTTCCCACAACATTCACCACCATACCGGTTTATGCATTTCTGGGGAGAGAACCGAATACTTTGTATACTGTGTTCAGTAGACAAGCATTCTACCAACTGAACTACATCCATCCCCTAATTTACCTCAAACTGTCAATCCTCCTGCCTCTACCTCGGTGATGTAAGAAGAACTAAGCCCTTTCTTCTGCACATTGCTTCTGGTCATGGTCCATCACATCGACAGAAAGTAATCTTAGTCAACTGGGAGTCAAAAGCCCAGGTGCTGGCCTGCTCGGCGGGCTGGCGAGGTGTCCTCGGGTGAGGTATCACCGTGAGCGGATGTCTTAGCTGGTTTTCTGTTGCTGTGGTAAACACCATGACCAAATGCAGTTTGGGGAGGAAAGGGTTTATTTCATCCTCCAGCTTGTAGTTGCCGTTCCAGGAACTCAAGGCCAGAACTTGGAGGCAGGAACGGAAACAGAGGCCATGGAGGAAGGCTGCTCCCTGGCTTGCTCTGCATGACTTGCTCAGCCTGTTTGTTTTTTTTATACAGCTCAGGACCACACAACTCACTAACCAAGGAAGTCCGCACAGATTTGCCCACAGGCTAGTCAGACAGAGATATTTTATTCCCAGAAGACTCTATCAGCAGATTTCAAACTGTGGGTCCCGACCCCTTTGGGGGCAAAAGACCCTTTCACAGAGGTTGTGTATCAGATATCCTTTGTGCCAGATATTGATTCAACACAGCAGCAAAATTACAGTTATGAAGTAGCAACAAAAATAATCTTAGGGTTGGGGTCATCACAGCATGAGGAGCTGTACTAAAGGGTCACAGTGTTTGGAAGGCTGAGACCCACTAGAGTCTGGAGCTTGTGACAAGTGTGTGGGGGTGGTAACATAGGATGACAGGCCACACGGGACATGCCAAAGGCTGAACCTGTGTCCTTGGGTAAAGGACAAAAGTGCTCTATCACCGAGGCAAACTCCAGGCACTGGGAAGCCATCTGTTTGAGTTCTGCCAGGCACAGCTTGCACACTGCTGCATGTGTGAAATCTCACCCCACTTTGGGAAAACAGCTATTCTGAGCATCCCCATTATACAGGTGAGAGAACAGAAGCACAGAGAGGGACAGTCTCTTGCTCAGGAAGGCACAGCTTATTGGGAACATTTGGCCTGTACTGTCAGCTGCAGTGCCTGTTCACATGTAGGGCCCTTCCTCACAGAAGGTTATAGAAAAGTCTTCTGAGGGTTATAGGTCCAGCCTGAGAAAGAGCAAAGGAGGGAGAGCACAGTAGTCAGACCAAGCTCCACAGAGGTGGCCTAAGCTCACAGTCCCTGAGCCCCTGTGCCTCAGGCAGGAGGCAGAACTACCCCAGCTGTGAGGCAAACACCACTGTGCTGAGATCATGGAGCACCGGTTAGTTCTCAAGATCACATGCACAGGAAGGGGCTTCACCTCTCCACTGAAGTCAGGCCTTGCACTCCACGCCCCGCCCCCCCAGTGTCCTCACCTCCCTGCCCTGGCCACTCCCTGCTCCCCAGGATGAAGGGCTCCATCTCATAAATCAGCACCCAGCTACAGGGCATGAGCCTCCTAGTGGCTTTGATGGGTGTGCCTGGGGAGCCCTTGGCACAGCCCAGCCAAGTGTGTTTTCAGAATGAGCTGAGGACACCCCTCTTCTCTGCCTCCACCCGAGCCTGTAAGCAAGCTTGGGAACTGGTTTAGACAAGCCCAGGCCCAGCTGGCCTGAGAATCTCCCCTGCAGGAATGAAGGTGAAGAGGGTGTGTGTTTGTGTGTGTGTGTGTGCATGCATGTGGGGGTGTGTGTGTGTGCGCTGGGTGTGTGTATGCATGTATGTGTGTGTGTGTGCATGTGTGTGCTAGGTGTATGTGTGTGTGCTGGGTGTGTATGTGTGTGGTATATGTATGTGCATGCTGGGTGTGTGTGTGTGTGTGTGTACTGGGTGTGTGTGTATGTATATGTGTGCATATATGTGCTGGGTGTATTGTGTGCTGGGTGTGTGTGTGCTGTGTGTGTCTGTGCTGTGAATGTGTCTGTGCTGTGTGTGTTTGTGTGTATTGTGTGTGTGTGTATGTGTGTGTGCTGTGTGTGTGCTGGGTGTATGTGCATGTATGTGCTGGGTGTATGTGTGTGTGTATGTTGCAATGCAAAGGAAGCACACTTCCAGCATGAACCAACCATGAACCCAGGGATGGAGGTAGGGTGGCAATCAGACGGATATCCCTCGTGTGGCTCATCTTTTCTTGGGGAGACGCTACACATGCCTCTACTCACCCCAGATAGGGAGCCTGGAGTCTGTCTGCTGCTTGGAAAGCAGGTCATATGTCCACTCTCCTGCCCCTGAACCTGTGCCCTGAACCTTGCTGTTCCTGTGTGTGGAGCAATTTTCCCCTAGAAGCTCCAAGGGGAGCTTCAGAATGAGGCCTACCTCAGGCCCCTCGACGCTGCCTTTCCTACCCTTTCCCGATACTACAGAAGATTTTCATTTCTGTCTTACGTTCCCTTCCGGGAAAGAAGCCTCCACATAGTCAAGATGTTTCGCTCACTAAAGTGCATCGTGCAAAGTGGAGGTGACCATTTCTTCTTACTCCTTACAACGATCGTGAGTTTTCTCAAAAAATGTGTTTTGAACCTGGAGTAGCTTGGTTGGTCGGGTATAGCATGCTCTGGGTTAGGTGTGACCCCACATACACTCAGGCATGGTGGCCCTGCCTACAATCACAGCATGCAGGAGGTCAAGAAAAGCGAAGCAGAAGTTCAACAGCATTCTTGACTCTGTAGCTAGTTCAAGGCCAGCCTCCAGAGCAAACCAAACAAAAACGTAGCCTGGAGGTAGCTCAGTGAGGGAGCAGTTACCCAGCATGGGGACGCCTCAAGGTTCTATTCCAGTGCAGGCAAAACAAAACCCCAAACAGCATTACTTCCTTTCCGGTCCTAAGGCCAATGTCCCTCCCCAGAGGCCTTCTCTGCCCCTGGGTTCAGTAGCCCCCCTGTGTGTGCTGTCAGGTCCCCCTCCCATTCACACACTCTCTAACAACAGGGGTGGAGGAGAGTCCATTTCACGCGCTTGTTCTTGCAGTGGACCCAGGTTTGGTTCCCAGAACCCACATAGCAGCTCGAAATTATCTGTAACTTCAGTTCCAGTGAATCTGATACCCTTTTCTGGCCCCCACAGGCACAAGTCATGCATGCTGTAGACACACTTGCGTGAGCACATGCATGTGCGCACACACACACGCGGAAATAGCCGGATATGGTGGCATATACCTTTAATCCTAGCACTTGGGACCCAGAGACAGAAAGATCTTTGCAAGTTCAAGGCCAGCCTGGTTTACATAATGTGTTCCAGGACAGCCAGGGCTATATAGAGAAACGCTGCATCAGAATAAAAGAGAAGATGTATGTATAGGTGACTTAGGACCTGGCATAGGAATACAGGCAAAGTTACTCAAGTTCCCTGAGCCTCAACTTTCTCTTCTGTAAAATGGGAATGACAATAGTATCTCCTTTATAGTAATTTCTAACATGCTTGGCACATAGTCAACTACACTGTTACTTAATAGCATGGCACTTCCAGTGCCTCCTGGGAACCTGGTCCAAGTTAGGATGCTAAGAATCACACAGATGACTGAACGTGGAGGGTAAGCATGAGAACCCGGAGAAGGGTCCTGGCTCTGACTCAGGAGAGTCATGGCAGCTTCCTACAGGAAGGGAACCTTCTGCCAATACCAAGCCTGGTAGGATGGCAACAGCGCATGCCCACACCTGTCTTCTGCATGAGAAAGCTTGCGGTTTGCCTGAGCAGCTGTCTATCAGGAGTGAACAACCTCTTAGTGCCAGGGGGCCAATTTCTTCTTGATCCCATTTTGAGGATGCTGCTGGACACAGGCTGTGCCCTGCCCTCACTGAGAAGAGAATGTTTACCTCACAAATCAGCAGACCTCCCTGGTCAGCAGAAGGATTCCCACTTCCTGTGGAAGGACACCCCACCGAGGGCTCTTCTACCTTAGCAACCCTCCAAGGAGGATGCTGTTAATCCATTTTACAGATGCAGGTAGCCACTGCCCAGCTCCATTCAGTGGCCCTGAGGGACAAGCAGAGACCTCATCAGGCCAGGCTCTGAGTTCAAATCTTCTCCCGGACACACCTAAGCTAGGTCACCTTAGGGAGAGTCAACCCCCTCTCTGAGCTTCGTGTTTTTAGTAGTAAAAAAGAAAAAAAGAAAGAAGATCTGGTGATGTAATTCAGCGATAGAACACTTGTCTAACGTGCACAAAGCCCTGGATTCTACTCCCAGTATCACAAAATCAATTTTAAAAATATATAATGAGCCAGGCAGTGGTGACACACGCCTTTAATCTCAGCACTTGGGAGACAGAGGCAGGCGGATTTCTGAGTTCGAGGCCAGCCTGGTCTACAGAGTGAGTTCCAGGACAGCCAGGGCTACACAGAGAAACCCTGTCTCGGAAAAAAAGAAAAAGAAAATACACACACACACACACACACGCGATAATAATAATAATAATAATAACAATAATAATAAAATGGAAAAAAGACAGATAAATGTCTACTTTGGATCACTGGTAAAGACCTTGAAGAGAAACAAACTGTGAGTCCACGGCCACCAGTGAGGTGAGGTGCCCTTCTCACCATTACTAATCCTCCAGAGCCAGGCATGATGATACATTGCTGGAATCCGAGTTTTCGGCGGTGAAGACAGAGTGATCAGAAACTCAAGGTCCTTGGTTGTAAAGCGGGTTTGAAACCAACCGGGGCTACAAGAGACACCTCCCCACCCCACCCCCGTCTCAAAAATCGAAAACGAAACGAAATGGCAAGAGAGATTGCAAGGGGTTAAGTGGAGACCCTGCCTCCTAGCCAGGAGCCTATCAGAGTTGGCGGGGGCGGGGCCTGGCTGCCGCTGAGAAAGAGATCTGGACCGACCAGATACCTTCTGGAGTGGGAGCTGGAGGTGCCGGCTGGACTTGTGGGGCAGGAGCAGCAATTCGGAGCGTAGGTCTTGACCTCTGCCCTGTGACAGCTCCCAGCCGGAGGATGCAGGGCAGCTGCCTGGGTTAGGGGCCATAGCTGAGGAAAGAAGACCAGCACTCCGAATCTTCTCATCCCCCAGGCAGCAGGCATGGGATGCACTCAGGCTCCAACTTCAGCTACCTCTGGTAGCCCACATGGACACAAGGTCTATTTATAGTTCTGCCACAGAAGGCCAGCCAAGCACAGGGGTAGCCAGGGTTTTTCAAGTGCTTTGGGGGCAGAAGGAAGAGTGGGAGAGGCCAGTTCTGCCTCCGTCCACATCATCCTTGGCCACCCTCATCGCTACCGACTCCCCCATGAACCCAGACAGTTCTCCATCGTCTAGCAGATAGCCTCTGGGTCAAGGGCAAGGTCAGGGGTGCAGCCCCGAGCGCAGATGGACACGGGCTTGTGGTCTGGACAAGGGTTGCATCAGCCCGAGCAGTGGCCCAGGACAGAGGCCCTGCTGAGAGGGCAAAGGCTGGCTAGGCTGTGGGAAGGCAGAGAAAGCAGTCAGAGAGTGGGAAGGCAAATTTAGAAAGCCAGAGCCTCCCTGGACCTCCCACGAGGGGTCAATCCCACAGGTGGCCAATGGTTGCTCGAACTTAGGCAGGTAGCCTGCCTTCAATGGAGCTGCTGGACCAGAAGGCTGATTCCCATCTCCTCTCTCCTGCCTGGGGTCGCCTCCTTCCCCACTTGCTACAGAAATTCCTAACTTCCTTCTAGCCCTGGCTGTGGGCGGCCACATGCTGTGGAGAAGAAAGTCCTTCTGGCTGGCATTGTCAGCCTTCTGGCTCCTCCTCATCCTCCTAGGAGTCTTCCCCCTTCGTCTGGTTGTGTCGCCGGGTCCTCTTCCAGGGCACTCCCAAGGCTGGCCCCGCTGGCTGGATGCTACCTTCCTACAGAGTTTCTCCCAGTCTGAGACGAACCCAGAAGATGTCCCACAGCTCCCTCAGGTCTCCCGGGGGAGCAGCTGCACCTGGGGAGCCTGCTTTGACACCTCCAAATGTAAGGGGAAGGTCCTCAAGATCTTTGTGCACTCCCCGGCTGGTCCGACCACTGAGGCTCAGCGCAGGATCCTGGACTCCTTGGAAGGTTCCCGCTACTATGCCCTCAGCCCAGCAGAGGCTTGCCTTCTCCTCTTCCTCCCCAGCCAGGACCGGAGAGGAGCATGCGGGCCTCTGCCTCCGAACTGGAACGGAGGCCGGAACCATCTGGTGCTCAGTCTCTACCCAGCCCCTTGCACCAGGCTGGGACAGGCGATGGTGGCTGAGGCCAGCCCCTCCTCGGACATCTTCCGACCAGGCTTCGATATAGCGCTCCCGTATCTCCCTGAAGCTCACCCATTGCAAGGTGGGGCTCCCGGCAGGCTGCAGCAGTATAGCCCCCAGCCTGGGGCCACCTTACTGGCCGTAGCGGAGGAGAGAGGCAGGTGGCGGATGGCAAGCACCCACGCCTCAGCCTGCCCCTGGAACAGGCACTGTGAGCAAGAGCCTGGACCCCGGCAGTAAGTAAACCTACCCTTGGGGAGTTGCTGAGTGGGAGGGAACTCGAGTGGGAGGCGGCTGCGACAGGAGCAGGACCAGAGGATGTAGTAAAGGGTTAAGATTGACATCTTGTGGGGACAAACCAGTCTCAGACGCAGGAGGAGAGATATGGTTAAGACAGCAGATAGGACCTCCACCAAGACGGAAGAATACGTCTCCAAGGCTGTGAAAGGCAGATTTTTGGAATTCTCCCTTGGGGATCTTAGAAACGTAACAAGGCTGCCTCCCACTCCCACCTCCTCCTGGTATGCCGGTCCCTCCTACTCTGACGTTTTATGTGACAGACATTTGTATACCACTCACTTGGTGTTAGCACCCCCAAAAACAATGGTGTGGGTAGGGGGAGGTAGATCAGTTCTAAGGTGTTTACCTTACAAACAGAGACAGGAGTGCAAGCCCCACCCCCACCTGCACCCCATGAGACAGTCTGGTGTTGAGTAGGTAGAGACATGATCCCTAGAGCTCTCGGCCAACCAGCTTAGCTGAGTGGGTGAGTTTCAGGGTTTGTGAGAGACCCTAAAGGTAGGGAGATGGCTGAGTAGGTAAAGGTGCCACCTGAGGGCTGGAGGCCTCTGTCCCCTGAGCCCACAAGTTAGAAAGAGAAGAGATTCCTGGAAATTGTCCTCTGGCATCCACACATGGTCCAAGACATCATAGGTCCTCCACCCACTCACAGGACTGAACAAGACACACACACACACACTATTATGTATAGTAAAATAATTCTAACTTCTGTGGCTAAGGTGTCTGTATTCTAAAGAGGATATATGTTAGGCAACTTACCCCATGGCCACCCGGCCAGAGCTTCTGGGTTTTAAGCAAGAGCTGGGATCAGTCCTGTCACAGGCCTCAGGGGAGCCACAGGGACTGGTAGCTGGTTCCAGCTGGAAACTGCTCCTGTGTCTAATTTTGGAGGTTAATCTCTCAAGGAAATAACAGCCTCTAGTTTTAGAAATATGACTTAGGTCCGATCTAAAGAACTTCCTACCTGTGGAGACCGCATGTGGTAGAGGGTTCTCTCCACCAGTGCTGGGGCGTACTTCAGTGCTGAAGCCGGCCACATCTAATGACTGAACCTTTATGTGTCCCACAGGTCAGCTGTCTCCTTCCAAGGTTGTGCAGGCAGTGGGTCCCAGGGCTCCCTTTTTATGTCCCTAGAGTTTATAGTCGCCCTGGTGTCTCTCTTTTTCTGTGTCTTCCTTTGGTCTCCCTCCAGGTCCCCCAACATGGCTATTCTGAGCTCAGCTTCCCCAGGACTCACTCCCCTGGCCAAGCTCCAGTTCTCCCTCTGCTTGAGGCTCTGAGGGAATCTGTAGGGAAGGGAATCCTTACCCTCCTGAAGGCACTGGAGACCTCCTGGGAGCCTTTCCTGTCAGCCCCACACCCACACCCTCTTGAGCCCTTCTGGAGACCTGAGAAGGTGGAACTTTTCAGACTCAGAGCCTGACAGGAACTCTCCTGTGACTAGAAACAGTAGTCTTTGGGTCTTTTTGTTTGTTTTGTTTTTGTTTTTGTTTTTCGAGACAGGGTTTCTCTGTATAGCCTTGGCTGTCCTGGAACTCACTCTGTAGACCAGGCTGGCCTCGAACTCAGAAATCGGCCTGCCTCTGCCTCCCAAGTGCTGGGATTAAAGACATGTGCCACCACTGCCCGGCAGGTTTTCTTTTCTTCTGTTTTTCTCTGGCCCACCTAAAAGGCTCAGGGTAGACTGGTTTGGCCTGGAGCTTGCAGTAATATGGCTGTCTTTGCCTCCTGGGTGTCTGGGGGGGATGAGGGGGAGGGTTTACAGATGTATGCCCCTCCCTTCTGCTCTGGGCAGCATTTCCCGTGATGCCTTTCTTTCCAAGGTATGCTGCCAGGTAGTCTTTTGATGTCCTCAGTTTCTCAGAAGTACTTGGCAGCTGCCTGGGCCAGACAGCATAAGGACAGGGTGAGAGAGGGAGGCCAGCCCCAGAAGACAGCCTGAATAAACAAGCACTGGCCAGAGAAAGAGGCACTTCAGTCCCTGCCACTGTCCCACATTCTAGCTGGCAGGCAGGTGGCAGTGGTGGAGGCTCTCCAGGGGAAGGTGCTTACTTGTTGATTCTCCCAGCATCCTCCACAGGAGATCTCCGTCCCCATCACCCCAGGGCACAGGGCGTTGCGGGGGTGGGGGTGTGGGGGTGGGGGGTGGTAGGGGATGTCAGGGCCCCTCAGTTTTCTGATCCAGGAAGCACTCAGAAGCTACTGGGAATCTAAACTGTCCTCTGGCTGCGCAGTGCAAGTGTTTTTCCATGTTGGTTGAATAGGCTCCTGTTCTCTTGGAATAAGCGCCCACCCACTTAAATCACAATTTCTTTATTTTTATGAATAGGTGATTCATTCACAGGATGAAGAATTCCGATGGTACAAAGGGGTACACAGTCAAAAGTCCCCCTCCCACCTAGCTCGGCCACCTAGGTTTCCTTCTTTCCTTTGAGCTCTGGTTGCAGCTTCTCAGATGTCTTTCTTTTCTGGGGAGCTCTGTACAGTCAGGGTATCTGTACCCCTACCTACATCTTTTTTTTTTGTTTGTTTGTCTGGATTTTTCTAGAAAAATCCAGGTCTCTTATAGCCAGGCTGCATGAAGATGACTTTATGACTTTGAGCTCCTGATCTTCCCTCCTCCACTGCTCTGACATTTCAGGCACGTGGCCACCATGTCTGGACCCTTCTCTATTTTTAAATTTCTGTACATGCCTGTGGTGTGCATACATGCCTGCTAGTTCACCTTTATATGGCAACATGTATGTGGGGGTACATGTGCACATGCGTGTACTGCATGGGGAAGCCCAAATTTGATGGCTGATCCTCCATCCCTCTTTACCTTATTCTTTGAGGCAGGATCTCTCCCCTGAAGCCAGAGCTTTGCCTGTTCGCTTCGTCTAGCTAGCCAGCTAGCCCAAGAGACCCCAACTCCATATAGCTCATGGTGAGATGGGTTTAGCTGGGGGCTGGGGAATCCAGACTCTGGGCTCTTAAAAATTATGGTTTTAGAACTGGGCCATGGTGGTGCACACCTTTGATCGGAGGCAGGTGGATCTCTTGAGTTTTGAGGCCAGCTCGGCCTATAGACAGAGCTCCAGGGCACCCAGGGTTATGGAGAGAAACCCTATCTTAGAAAAACAAACAAAAAATTATTTATTTATTGTTTTATGTGTATATGTGTGTGTGCTTTCATGTGTTTATGTGTACCATATGCATGCAGGATACCTTCAGAGACCAGAAGAGGGAGTTGGATCCCCTGGAACTGGAGTTACAGGTGGATGTGAGCTGCCATGTGGGTGCTGGGAACCTGGATCCTTTGCAAGAGCTGGAAGTGCCCTTAACTGCTGAGCCAGCTCTTCAGCTTCAAACCAGGCTCTCTTGTGCAGCGAGTGTTTGACCTGCTGAACCATTTTCCCATCACCCCTTCCCATTAGAAAGTTTAGTTTTGTGTCTGTGTGTGCGTGCCTGTGCGTGTGTGCATGCGTGCGTGCGTGAGATGGGCGTGGGGAGGGAGAAGGACAAAGTTGTACAGTTGGTTGTGTCTTTCCATCTTTACATGGGTCCACAAATCAAACTTCTGTAGACCAGGCTGGCCTTGAACTCCCAGAGATCCCCCTGCCTCTGCCTCCTGAGTGCTGGGATTAGAGGGATGTACCGCCACCCCCCTGGTGATCTCTCCCATTTTCAATGTAAATCAAGTTTCTCTGCCCCTGCTCTCAACTCTTGGATGACTGCGTGGAACCCAGGGACACTTTGAGAGCACAGGAAAGTAACTTCAAAAGAAAAAAAAATCTGAATGCCAAGGTGAAAGAAAATGTTTTGATATTTAACAGTATTTGTTTTTATTTCAACACAGTAGTGAAATATATTTTTTTATTATTTTAAATATAAGGCCCCCCGCCGGGGCGGGAGTAACGGCAGAGGTTAAAGTGCCTAGGACCCATGGAAACCACAGTGTGGCCCTGGTGGCCAGGCCCTGGTGAACCCCATGACTGCGGGCAGAGCCATGACTTTTACCCTGGGTGCTGAAACCCTCGGCCTATGGTGCATACCTTAAACAGCAGAACATCTTTGGGCTTCTTGGTCAGCGCACAGAGACACAAGTTCTCTCTGTAACTCTCTCCTGAGCCCCTCGCAGCCGCTCATTCAACCTCTGCCTACCGTCTCCCCCAGCACGCCCCTGGGCTTAGTTAACTCAGTTCTGTCAGGAGGCAGGTACATCGGGTACACTGGTAAGCAGAGCGAGGCTTTGGAGTCTGAGCTACTTCAGAGCTACGCAGGACTTCGGGCCTCTGTTCCCTCACCTCAGATAGGATGATACAGCTGTGGTTTCCATCTCAAGATGGCTGCCGTGAGAAAGACCTCTATACATGGAAAGTGCTTAGGAACTGGTGGTGGTTGGCTGGGATATCAAGGAGGGCTTCCCGGAGAAGGTGACATGGAGCCTAGTCTCCACTGTAGAGCAGAAGAAATTTCCCTTAGTAGGTGAGGCAGAGGGCATCAGGATGGGGAGAGAGGACATGCAGAGGAGAGACAGAGGGGAGCTAAAGGCCAAGGGGTACAATCTCGAGAGCAGGCCCTGTCTTTCTGTGGGCTCCCTGGAGTCTTCAGCTAGGGCCTTTTAGTTCCTTACAGTTTACTGGAGGGAGCTGGGCCTGCCTGGCCAGTGCTGTAACTTTTGATGTGATGGGGGTAGGGGTGAGGTTTGTTTTGTGGTTCCTTCCAGAGGCTCCCCGTGTACCCCTAGACATATCCCAAACGGTGGCTGAAATAACCAGGGGTTGGAATTGGCCCGCCTTGGTTCTTACCACAGCTGGGTCCCTCTTCTTGAGACTCGGGTTCCTCAACTGTTCAGAGGCACCACCCAATACTCCCAGATCTGTCTGCTGGAGGTCAGAGCAGAGAGCGGCTGAGGAGGGTCTTGGGTTCCCTTGGGTCGCCCTTCATGCACCGCACTGAGGATTGTGTGCACCTATGGGTGGGTCCCTCTGGTCCTCTCTTCCCCAGCTGGATGGTAGGCATCGGTTCCCGGGACTGGCAGCTCCAGAGAGGTGGCTCTGAGGGGGCTGTGGCTCTGGGACCTCCCTCACAGATTCCCTGGCACAACCTGATCACCGTCCTGGGGTTGGGGGAGGAGTGGGGAACAGAGGAGGCCTGTCTTCCAACACAGGGCTGCGGGCAAGAGCTTCCTGTGCGGTTCCAGGCTGGAGGCCCAGCCCACCTCAGTACAGAGAAGCCTTTCATGGCTGGGTTACCAATGCGGGGAGAGCTGAGTGTGGGGGTCACTCAGGTAAGGGATGCCTAGGCCAGAGTGGAAGAAAGGATAGGAGATCCAGGCATCCCATTTTGCAGATGAGAGAACTGAAGTACAAGGAAGAAAAAGGGAGAAGCCTAAGGCTACCAGGGCCAGAGCTATCAGACAGGGTTCCTGAATCCCCATGGATGAGGGAGTAGAGGGGCCAGATCACTGCTCTTGGGTATGTCTGTCAGTGTATGGCTGTGTGTCTGAGGACACAGTAGGGTTAACTTCTTGAGACTGTGGGGGTGTCACTGTAAGGTGCCAGGGGCCATTGGAGCTGCCATATACGTTGAGGGGCAGGTGTCTCAGGCTCCGTATCCAGGGACCTTCCTGTACCTTCTCAGGACCTACCCAGGAGAGACACTTCCCAATGCCACCTTCTGCCTCATCCCCGGCCACCGATCTGCCACCTCCTGCTTTCTCCAAGCCCTTCAGGTACACCCCAATCTGAGTATTCCCCAGCCTCTGCACCTCTGCCCTTGAGCTAGCAAGAAATGCGGGGTACATGCACATAGGAAGGGGGTTCCCTGTTCCCCCCAAAATATTCTCCTCTTTGTCCTTTCCCTTAACAGGGGGGCTGCTGGTGGCCTGGGGTGGGGTGAATGTGTACAAGGAAGGGCTGGGCTCTCCAATGGCTGCCCCGCCCCCCAGGCCGGCTGCATCCCTGTACTCCTCAGCCCGCGCTGGGAGCTGCCTTTCTCTGAAGTCATCGACTGGACCAAGGCGGCCATCATTGCTGATGAGAGGCTCCCGCTGCAGGTAGCTCAGGGTCTGTCTCATGGTGGGGGGCATCTCAGGGGAGGGACCCCAGTATCTCCGCCCCCTTCTTGTAGTCATTTCTATACCTGTTGCCTCCCTCTGGGGCTCTCATAGACTTAAATAAAAGTGGGGCCTCTGGAGGGTGCCAACAGCAAGTTCTGAGCCACTTTCTGCCTCAGTTTTCCCATCTGTGTAATGGGATAAGTTAGATCTCTAGGGCTCAGCTGAAAGGAAATAGATAAGATGCCATGGCTCTTCCATCTGATGAAACCAAAGTTGCCCAGGCTGGAACAATCTGTGTGAGCAGCTGTGCGAGCTGGGGAGCTGGCTGGAGGGATGCAGGAAAGTGAGCAGTGGCCGTCCTTTGTCCTTTAACTGGGGCCACACCTACAATCCCACACTAGGGCTTGTGAGGCAGGAGATCAGGAGTTCAAGGTCATTTTCAACTACATAGCAAGTTTGAGGCCAGCCTGGGATCCTTTCAAAAAGAAACAGACACAGGAACATGCTTCTGCTTCACACACACACACACACACACACACACACACACACACACATACACACACACGGTGCTACCACTGTTCATTCAGAGTCTCCACATGCCAAATGGGCATTTTCTAGTTGAGTCTTTACAACAACCACATGTGAGAGCGAGATGTTTTAATGCACCCATTCCACAGACAGGGAAACTGAGGCTGGGAGGGTTTGTAACAGCGACTGTCAACCCCCTTGGTATTTTGGATAGGGTCTCGTGTAGCCCATGCTGACCTCAGACTCCCTATGCAGCCCAAAATATCTTGAACTTCTGATCCTCCTGCCTTAAGCTCCTGAATGCTGTCATTACATGAACGTGTCAATGGTGACAGTTTATGTGGTGCTGGGGATCGAGCCCAGGGCTTTTTCCATGCTGTGCTGTGTTGGCTCTTTGTCAACTGAGCCACATCCCCAGCCCCTACCTTTTTGTTTTGTTTTGAAAACAAGATCTCTTCCCTATGTCTTGCTGGTCTTGAGCTAAGATCCCCCTGTCTCGGCCTCCTGGGTAGCAGGATTTATAAGTATGTGCCACCACACAGTGTCACTTAAAACCAGCTCTGTGTGACCCTGAACACAGAGTTACATCACTAGAAGCTTCCAGATCCCCGAGCTCTGAAATGAGCCTTCTAACCAGGGTTAGTCAGGAAGCTGGACCTCAGGCCTCCTCTCTTCCTCCCTCCCTCTGTGCCCCAGGTCCTGGCTGCCCTCCGTGAAATGCTCCCTTCGCGGGTTCTTGCCCTGCGCCAGCAGACCCAGTTTCTGTGGACCGCTTACTTCTCCTCAGTGGAAAAGGTCATCCATACCACCCTAGAGGTGAGGGGGATTCGCCCGCAGGGCCCAGGGCTCCCTCCTCCTCTCCATCCTCTTCTTCCTCCTCCTGCTCCCCCTCCTCCTCCTTTCCATTCTCCTCTTCTTCCTCCTCCTCTCCATCCTCCTCTTCCTGGCTATTTCCCTCCTGTGTCGAGTTTCCTCCCCTGATGCAATAGGGAAGGAGCAGTCTGGCTGTGTGATCTTGGGCACATGTTTTGCTCCAATCTTGAACGAACTTTCCCTTGCCTCTGGGGACCACTATGGCCAATGGATTCCAAACATGTGTTCACTGACAGAAGCAATCTGGGATGCTGGGGTTCAAAAGAGCCTGGCATTTTCAGAATTTTGAGTCCTGAGAGAATGACATGACCTCACAGTTGTGTCTGTGGGAATGAGGAAAGGAAAAGCCATGAGTCTGTCACCTGATTCCCACTGCAGAAGTCGCCTCTTCTGGCCTCTGGCTACTCAGCTAGCTGTTCTGCGCCCAAGTCTCTATCTTAGAAGCCTGAAGGAAAAAGTGTGGGGCTCAGTGCCCCTGGTAGTTCTCTCTGCCCACACCCCTCTCCTCGAGCTCCGCCTCTCCTCAAGCCCCGTGTCTCCGCAGGCCCCACCTCTCCACGGCCTGTCTCTCAGGGTCTACCCTTCCTCAGGTCCCACCCACAATCTGCTGTCTGAACTACACACACTAGCCACTCTCCCTGAAACCCACTTCCTCTTTCTACAGATCATTCAGGACCGGATCTGGGGTGCGTCGGCTCACCCCTCACTGATGTGGAATAGCCCCCCAGGGGCACTCCTGGCTCTGCCCACTTTTTCCGCGAGCCTTCAAGATTTCCCCTTTTATCATCTGCAACTGGGTATGTCCCGGGGTGGGGGGGGGTCAGACAACTTGAGGTAACCTCAGCTTTCCCCAGATTTACTCCAGCGTCATCTGCAGACACTCTCTCAAACTCCATCTCTTCTGGTTCTTTGGGGTCCCCCAACAGAGGTGACTCTCCAAGGGGCTCCACCTTCTCCCCCCTAACACCGGTGTCTCCTTTCTCCAGGCTCCAGCCCTGGGAGCCGTTTCAGCGCCATGATCTGGGTGGGGGACTCCGGAGAGTCCCTGCTGAAGCTCATCCAGGAGGTGGCAGGTTCCCAGCACTGTGCCCAGGTCTGTCCCCTGACAGCTAGGGTTCTGGGATCCGGGGTGAATGGAAAGAACAGAGCAAGGCCCTAGATGGCCACACATCTGGGGGATGGCACAGGGACTCTTTCCAAAGATTCATGCTGACTTCAAGTCTCAGGTTTCTTGTTCTTTCCCAAACACCATCAGACTTGGTGAAGCCCTTGGAGAGCTGGTGCTCTGTGGTGAGGCTGGAGAAAGAAGCATTCATTCATTCATTCATTCATTCTCTCAGCGGTCACTTTGGGTCCAGGTCTGGGGCTTCAAGTCCTGTGGACCAAAGGCTAGGCAGGAGAGGACTCCTCCCCGTGATTCACAATGCCAGCAGTTACTAGAACCAACACTGTCCAGTCTCATTTCCAAAGAACACAGGTGGCTAGGTATGGTCGCTCCTGTTTGTAATTCCAGCTTGAGCCGAGGCAGGAGGAAGGTGGAGAGTTGGAGGCAGGCTAACCTCAGGCTACCGAGTGAGATAAGGCCAGCCAAGATTACATAGCAAGATCCAGTCTCAAAAGCAATAAAACAGAAGAAAATAAAACAATAAACAAACAAAAACAGGGCTGGAGAAATGGCTCATTGATCAAGACTACTGGTTATCTTGGAGAACATAGGTTCAGCTCTCAGCACCCACATTATGACTGACGACCATCAGTGACCTCAGTTCCAGGGGATCTGATTGATACCTCTTCTTACCTCTCTAGGAACCAGACAGGCATGTGGCTCACAGACATGCAGTCAAAAACATTCACGCACATAAAATAATAAATCAGTCAAAATAACAACAAAAGCCCCCAGGAGAATCCAGGTTGATTCTCAGTCAAAGTTGCTAGGCCAAGGTGCAGAGGGAACTTCAGCAGATGAGGTGTGGGTTGAGCAGAGCAGGAAATGACAAGGAGAATGTAGGCCTCAGAGGGCAGATGGAGACTGCACCTAAAGTCAGGGCCCAGAGCCCAGTATGGTGACACAAGACAGGTAGAGGCAGACCGGGAATTCAAGGCCAGCCAGGCCCACATGGTGAGTTCTAAGACAGCCAGAGCTACACAGGTTCTGTCATCAATCAAGCAATTAGAACCCAGTCAAGGGCAACCAAACTAAAAAAAAAAATTTGAGACAGTTTTATTATTTAATCCTGGTTAGTCCTAAACTCAGAGGTCTGCTTCCCTCTGCCTCCCAAATGCTAGAATTAGAGGCAAGCACCACCACTCCTGTCTCAGCCGAGATTCTTGCCTGCCGTAAGGCCAGAGGCAAGACCAAAGGAGGTAATGAAGGAACAGAGATTCCCCCTTCCCCCATCCTCTCCTGCTCTCTTGCGCACCCAAGTAGCTGCTCCCTGTGCTCCGTCCACCCTAAGAAAGAGCACCCTCAGGACTCCCGTCCTAATCTGATCCCAAACTTCAGACAAGTCCCCTTTCTTCCCAGATCCTGATCCTCTGGAGCAGTGAGAGGCCGCCCCCTGACAGGTGGCCCGAGACAGCAGTGCCCCTAACAGTCATTGAGGGACACAGGAAGGTAAGCAGGCTGGAGGACTCCCACTGGGGACTAGGGAGGACAGCCACAGGATGTTTTGAGCCAAGCTGGAGTTCCATATGGGTCTGAAGGGACCGGGCCATGGATTCTAGCTGCAGGTCCAGTTGGACTGATGCTCTTCCTCTGGTGCTGGGCTCAGCAGTGCAGATTTGCCTGCTGTGTGCAGGGCCCTGGGTTCCACATAGGCCAGAAGCATCAGACACCCTTCCCTCCCTGGCCCTGGGAAATACCAGAGAAAATACCAGAGGAGGCAGTATCCTGGGCTAGGAGGGGGTGGGAGCTGGGACCCTGGGCAACACAGAGTCACAGGTACCGTGTGCTGGTTGTATACGTCTAGGCAAGTATACATCTTCCCAAGTCTGATTCCTTCAAATAATTGATCCGGGGTTAATAAGAGTGAAATTCTAGTAGAGGGAACTTGGCCTTTAGAGCCAAAGGGGAAACTGTAATCTAGACTTGTGGACAGGCTTCTGTATTCCTGGCTCCTCCTACACCCTATCTGAAGAGCTCATACTTCTGGGTGTGGGGAGTGTTGCGGGGTGGTTCTCATGGCTGAGACACCCTAAACTCCCTCTGACCCACCACAGGCCAGCGACCGGTTCTTCCCATACGGCAACATCAGCACCAATGTCGTCCTCAGCCTTGATGCTCAGAGCACTCTTTCTACCAGTGAGGTGAGGGCTGGGCTCAGGAGATGTCCGGCATGATGTGAACAGAGCCCGAGGGCACTTCAGCCCCCTCAGGTTCCCGTGCCCTGAGCTCCAGCCGCTTGCTGTGGTGGGTCTCCAAATAGAGGTCTCCACAGCTCCTGGCTGGGCAAGTTCCCTCCAAGTCCTCCTAGAAACACTCACCTTAAACTTCTAGTAAAACTTCAAGGCAATGGTGCATACCTTTAATCTCAGAACTTGGGAGGCAGAGGCAGGTGGATCTCTGTGAGTTCGAGGCCAGCCTGGTATACAGAGTTAGTTCCAGGTCAGCCAGAGCTGTACAAAGAAACCCTGTCTCAAAAAACCAAAAACCAGACCAAAACAAACAAACAAAAAAGGGCTTCAAGCAATGCTCTGATCCCCTGTGCCCTAAGCCCTGCCCCAACCTTCGTTAGCCAGGCTGGTCTCACCACCATAGGCTATAAGGATTTTGGTCAGGAAACTCCTCCTCATAGCGACTTCATCCCTCTGCAGGTGGACTTCGCCTTTGTGGTGTGGCAGAGCTTTCCTGAGCGGATGGTGGGCTTTCTGACGGGGAGCCACTTCTGGGATGAACCCCGGGGTGGCTGGGCCTACAGTACTGAGATGACCAATGAATTCTCCATGGTCCTGACCACGGCTGCCTTCTACCACAGGTGCAAACATTGGCCCCAGAGCAGGGAGAAAGGGTGGGAGGCTACAGTCCTGACCTGGAGTGGGAGGGCTCCTCACCCCGGATTGGTTTTTGCTTTTTGTTTTGTTTGTTTGTTTGTTTTGAGACAGGGTTTCTCTGTATAGCCTTGGCTGTCCTGGAGCTCACTCTATAGACCAGGCTGGCCTCAAACTCAGAAATCCACCTGCCTCTGCCTCCCAAGTGCTGGGATTAAAGGCGTGCACCACCACTGCCTGGCTGGTCATTGAGCTGGGCTGGGGATGTAGCTCAGTTGGTAAGAGGGCTTGTCTAGGACGTAGGTTCTAACCTTTACACTGAATATGCCCAAACTGAGCATGATATCACACACACATCTGTAATCCCAGCACTGGTCCTGAGGAAGCAGGAGGGTAAGGAGTTCAAGGTCACGGTCAGCTGGGTAGTGAGTTTGAGGTCAGCCCCGGGAATGTGGAACCCTGACTCGGAGCCAGGGCCTCCCTATGTAGCTCAAGCTGAGGAGCCTCAGGTGTGTGGTCTTCTGCTTCCATCTCCCAAGTGCTGAACTTCCGGCACTGCTCCCCACCAGGCCTGGCTTCTGGGGCCTCTGGAAAGCGAGCCTTGGGTCTGTTTAGACCTCATCCATGTAGCATGGAATTTTTTGTAGTTTTTTTGTTTGTTTGTTTGTTTGTTTGTTTTTAACCAGGGGCTCTGCAGGGAGCTCTCAGAATACAGGGCTAATCCTCGTGAGTGCAGTACACAGCCTCCCTGAAGCTGGTCTTTGGGTAGCCATGTTTGGTGGCTTTGGAACCACCTCACACTCCACCTGCCACCAAGTCTGCCTCTGTCAGAGTTCGGACTTGGGAACACAGAAAGCGGGCCCCAAGGAGGGACTGGAGGGATACACAAACATTGCCCAACCCCTAAACCACAAGGAAGGCACGTGGAGAGTGGGTCATACCCAGGATGGTAGCACCCCGTGAGGAGCTAGGGGGTGGGCTACAGGTCTTGGAAATTTGGGGTCTGGAGTCAAAGGAAGGGAAATGGACCCTGCCTGCAGCCTCTTCCTGTCCCAGCTCCCTGCCTAAGGTTCACCATGTATTTTACAGATATTACCACACTCTCTTCACCCACTCCCTACCTAAGGCCCTGAGGACCATAGCCGAGGAGATTCCCACCTGTGTTGACGTCCTGATGAACTTCCTGGTAGCCACCGTCACCAAACTGCCCCCTATCAAGGTGCCTTATGGCAGACAGCACCCGGAGGCTGCTCCAATGGTGAGCAGCGACTCGAGGGGGCTGGTTCACACTAAGGAAAGCCCGGGATGGGGGAAGGAAAAGTGGGCGGAGTCTCTCCACTCTCTAATCCACATCTGGTCGCAGCAGGGTGAGGGTTCAGAAAAACAAACCTCACGGACTTGTTTCCCTCTCCCCTCTTAGGATTCTGCGGGTCCACGACCAGTGCCGGAGCCTCAGCCCCAGGATCAGGATTGCATCAACCGTTTAGCAGCAGGGTTCGGCCACATGCCTCTGGTTTCCTCTCGAGTGCGTCTGGACCCGGTGCTGTTCAAGGACCCGGTATCGGTGCAACGCAAGAAGTACCGCAGTTTAGAGAAGCCCTAGGCGAGGCGTTCTACCTGACTGCTAGACACCAGAGAGCCAACTGAGACGGATCAAAGTCCCGTCCTGGTTGGCCAGTCACTACATGGATCCCTGAGGGCCGTACCCGGGACCTTCCCAGGCCACGGTGGGGTTGCGTTTGGCACGTTTCGCACAGGCCTGTGCACAGGCTGATCCGGTTCCCCGAAATGCCTTTCTCTGCATCTCTGCATGGTCTACATCTGGCCCTCACTCACCTCCTTGGTGGTCTTGAAGTCCTCGCACGATTCGCGCCGAGTGGCCTTGTGTACACCAGCCGGTCCCAGGACCGGCCTAGGATCTCCGGAGGTTGGATCCTGCCCTCCTCTCTTCGGGGGTCTGGCAGGTGCATTGTAAATATTTGCGCAATAGCTACAAGAGTATTAACTGTTTGCCAGCGCGGTGGAACACTGCCAAAACGTGCATGAGACATTACGCTGTCCCTTACTCTGGAGTTCCTGGTCCCCGTAGAAAGCAGACACCAGGATTTCCAGGCTCAATCAAGCGTGAACAAAGAGGCCAGGAGTCGGAGATAACCAGAGGATTGGGTGTTGCTTGCCAGCCTCACGGCAGACCCCGGACCTTGGGTGACCAGCAGCACTGCACTACCAAACTAGACCACTAGAGGTCAGCTGCTGCACTGCTTTCCCTTCAAAGGAATAGAGTTTGATTTTGCTTTCTTGACATTTTGTTGTTTGTTTTTGTTTTTCAAGTAAAGGTTTCTCTGGGTAGTTCTGGCTGTCCTGGAACTCACTCTATATGCTAGGCTAGCCTCAAATTCACAGAGATCCACCTGCTTTTTGCTTCCCGAGTGCTGAGATTAAATTCATGCACTACACCGCCATCCACTGCTTCTTGAACTTGGGGGGTCAGGAGGGGAGAAGGCGGCAAGACATGGTCTGAGACTGTAACCCAGGCTGGTCTGGAACTCACTGCAGTCTTACTGCCTCAGTTTCCCAAGTGTTAGAGTTGCAGACGTGGGCCACAATGCCTGACTGAATGGAGTTAAAGATTATGGATAAAATGGTGAGCTGAGGGTCACTGGTGTGTGCAGACCCCAGTATAAGACCGTGCGAGGACTATGACAGAACAACACTTTGGCCTGCACACTTGGAGCTCGGGCTGTTGGCAGATGGGCTGGTCGCGAGGAAGAGGGCTGTCCTCAGCGTCCTATAGGTGAGAGTGGAGTGGGGGAGGGGAGGCTGCTTTTCCTGGGTTCGTCCACCTGGAACTGGAATTATCGCTTCCGAAATAAAGCACGTGTCCTTGCCCACTCACGTCCGACTATAAATACCCTTCCAGCAGCTGCACCGTGTGGCGGGGCGCTCAGGGTCAACGAGGGGCGTGGCGTGGAGCTGGGGTGACTCCAGACGGTGAGGGTGTGGGGGGATCTAACCCAGTCCAAGGTATCGGGTGTTTTCCTTCTTTGATGGCTTCGGCCGCTGTGGAAACTCCCGTGACTAGGTTGCTGGCTGGAACAGGCTGTCCCCTGAGGCTTCCCACCCCCTTTCTCCGACTTCACTCCTGGCCCCGGTATGACTCAGGTCCTTCCTGGAGCCTGTCACTGCTGGGTGTGGAAAGCCCGTCGTCTCATGGAAGCCGGGAGCTGTCAGGAGCGTTGAGGTGCAAGGTGGGGGGAGAGGGGCGGACTGGAGATTAAAGTGGGGGAGGTGGCCTGGCCCAGGGCCAAGAGCAGTTGAGGGTGAGAGGACTCACACAGCTGCAGTCTAGGCAGCCTGCCAAGGATGGAAAGGGCACCGGGTGCCAGGGCCAGCCAGGGGACAAAAGGCACCCTTACAGTGGTGGCTTGGACACCCAGGACGATGGACTGCCCTGGGGTTGGTTGTGCCTCTGCGGAAGGCATTGTTGGATTCAGGGCTCACACACTGCTAAATGGTCAGCACAAGGCAGGTCTCAACTCCTGCCCAGCAATGGGGGACATCTGTCTCACACCAGCTGTGGGACTCGGCCTCTCTGGACCTTCCTTTTTGCTTCTATAAAAATAAAAGGTGTGGGGGGGGGGCTAAAGAAATGGCTCAGAGGTTAAGAGCACTTTCTACTCTTACAAAGGACCCCTTCCTGGGTTCCTAGCTCCCACATTGGATGGCACACAAACACCGATAACTCCTGTTCCAGGGGATCCAACACTGGCTTCTGGCCTCCATAGGCACCCACATGTTTGGTTCACATACAGATAAGTGTGTGCACGTGCACAATTTAAAAGAAAGGAAGAAGAGGGTCTGGTGTCTATAGGAGGCAGGGGCAAGAGACCCTCTGAAAGTCCCAGGTGACCATCTTTTGAAAGGTATAAGGATGTGGCACACTGTGATGCCCAGTATCCAGGATCCTGGGCTGGCAGAGGCTGAGGGGTGGGCATTTGGTTACTTGAGACTGGAGGAGTACACCTTCACTGTTCCAGGGCCACAGATTGCACACAGACCTGCCCCTCAGTAAATGTGACAGTGCTGGAAGGCATAGGTTTTCTTTACAGTTGGAGAGAAGTTCAAAGGGCCAGGGGTGGTGCATGGTACATGCTGGATGGAATTCAGCTACTCAGGAGGCTGAGGCAGGAGGTTGGGAAGGGCAGGCTAGAGGAGGTTATCTAAAATTACGAAGTGAAAAGACCAGATGTCTGCTGTATACCTCTAATTCCAGAATTTAGGAGGCAGAGACAAGAGGGCCAGTGAGATGGCTCTGCCGGAGAAAGGACAGATCTGATGACCTGAATTCCCTCCTGAGGCCACAGTGGAAGGAGAGAACCAGCTCCCTGAAGTTGTCCTCTGACCTTCGCTCACACACCAAGGGACACACACACATGCTCACACCTATGTACAGACACACAACAATAATTGATTTTTTAAAAATTTAAGATGGCCGGGAGGTTGATCAAGGTTATTTCCAGGGCTACCTGAACAGCCTGTCTGAGAACCAAAATGAAACAGAAACTGAGGGACTAGAGATTGCTCAGGGGTTAGAGATGCTGGCTTCAGTTCCCAGCACCCACATGGTGGCTCACAACCATCTTTGAGTTCTATGGGATCTGATGCCTTCTTCTGGTCTCCAATGGTACCGATGCTGCACGTGGCGCACATATATATCTGCAAGGCAAAACACTCATACACGTAAAACAAATGCTAGCCATTTATTTTTTTTAAATGAGGTGGTGTTGGTGGAGGCCAACACCTAGCCTTTCCTCTTACTGTGCCAGGACAGAGCCAACACAGCCGCGCTGAGAAGCCTGCTGGCCCTTCACAAGAGCCTTTCCCAGGACACTGATCAAAGAGACCAATACACAACCACTAGGCCCTTAGCAGGCTCAGCTGTCTGCACACTCCTGTGGGGAAGATGTCACGATGTTCCTGGTCTCTGTATGAGTCACAGACACCGAGAAGGGACAACCTTCAGTTGGCCTGCAATAACAGATACAGACATTGGCCCGGGCCTTCCTGTGAAGGTAGGCCTGTCACCCCTTTCATCTGTAACCTCAAGCGAGCTCTAAGGATTTTTCACACAGACTCCAAGGACACCCCTCCTGCCAGCCCCTGGACACATCCTCATCCCTAACTAGGTCCTGGTCACCCAGGCAATAAAGCAGGATTTACTAATCTCTTGAGATAGTCAGGTCAAGGGAAGTGGCCTGGCCCTGGAGCTGTGAGAACAAGATCTAACTGGAATCTGTCCCTGTCACCTCTGTCAAGGCCATAGATACACTGACTTGGCTTCCTGGGCTTAGGTACCAGGAAGGAAGAAACCAGCCAGGTTTCCCAATGAAGGGGCCTCTTCTTCCTCCTCCCCCTCTAGGAAGTCACAGGGGGCCCACAGCCAAAGTGAGCAAGGCAGAGAGAGGCCTCATGTGCCCTTTGGCCCCACATCTCAGGGAGAGTTGTATGAACGCCCATGGTTGGAAAGCCATGTTAAATAACAGAGGCAGGGGCTCTCTGCTCCCAACTGGGTAAAGCAAACCAGGGAAGGATCCTTGAGACCCGTCTCTCTTAGAAGCAAATCTCTTAGAAGCAAATTTCTCCTGGTCAAAAAGATAGAAGCTAGGTTCTACCCCTGGTGACAATGTAACTACTCTGTCCCAAAGATTAGGACATTACTTCCCATAGCCCCCCACCCCCACCCCAGGATGGCTCAGACCTGACTACCTAACACTGAACACAAACATTCACGTAAAGATGGAGAGAAACAGCTCCACCAAGTCAGGGGCCGACCTCTACTCAGTCTTTTTCGAGTTCGTTCAATTGGGCCCATTGGTCACCCAAAGACATGCTAAGGAACAGTTATCTCCTTGATTAGGGCTCTCTGGGCCCCACGTACAGACACTTGCTTATAGACCTTAACTGCTAAGTCAGCTTGTTTCCCTAGACTCTAACTCAGAAGCCTGATTTTGCTTTCCCCCTTTTTCTCTCTCCATTTTTTAAATTGTGTGCACACGCACACGCCTGCTTGTTCGTGCACATCTTTCTCAGTGTTCCTTTACCCCCTCCCCCATTATAGCCATCCAGATGTTTACAGAACTCCATTGCTAACCGGAACTCAAAAGCCTTGACTTTCTCTCGTCTCTCACTCTCCACCAGCAGCTGCTGAGATTTATGGCTTGCCTGGACTATGGTTTTTTGTTTTGTTTGTTTTTTCTTTCTCCCAAATTCTAATAAAACATCCTCAGATCTTGTTCCTGAGTCTGGCTCATAATTCTTTTATCAATGAGACTGACCCTGCAAAGGGAGCCCCGACTACCCAGTCACATGTTACAGGGATCTTGTTCCATTTTTGGTTCAGACACAGAGACCCTGGATCATACAGGACACCCCAAAATCCCCTTCTGTGCCTCAGTGTCTCTCCAGCTGTGGTGTTAGGATGACATCAGTTCAGGATCCAGCCCAAACACAGTCCTGGAAGAGAAGTGGGCCCTCATCTGCTGTGTCCTCATCCTGTGAGCTCACAGGCTAAGGAGAGCCCCACTGTGGAGTGGTCCAGGCAGTGCCTTGAGCCCAGAGTCCTGGCTGCACACCAAGTGTTCTACCCACAGGTCCTGACCATGCTTCTGCTGAGATGGTGTCTGGCCAGGCAGTCACTCAGAGGGGCCCTGGCACTCCTGGCAGCTCTTCATGTCCTCAGAGTAACTCTCAATTTGGATGGTCATGGTGTGGAAATTGAACTTCCCCTGGAGGCGGTCCCTAGCCACCTTCAGCACAGCCTGGGCGTCAGCATTCTGGGCTGGAAAGAGAGAAACAGGGGATGCTGGGCTCATGTCTACCCCTGGGGCACAGACTCAAGGAAAAGAGACACTAGGGGGTGTCCCACATCCTGCAACCCTAAGAGCTTGACTCTCTCCCACCTACTCACCCCCTCTCACCTGTACAAGGGATTTGACCACCCCAAGCAGGGCCTCAGTTATCTCTCTCCATAAACACAGTGGGGAGGATCAAAGGGCATTTAAATGCTCAGCGTGTGGCCAGAGCTTGGCAAACCCTCCTGAATGGCCCCAGGGCTTTGGACGCTTCTCCCTCTACCTGTACTCACCAATGGCTATGTGGACAGACAGCACTGGCTGGGCCACTGTCAGCGCCCAGATATGTAGGCTGTGCAAGGCTTCGACCCCATCCACAGACAGCAGGAGATTTTTCACGGTTGTGAAGTCCACACCTTTGGGAGTTCCTGGGGACATCAAACACAATGCTAAAGGACACTGGCCCACCCCCAATCCCATACCATTCCTCCAGGGCCATCTACTCCGAAGGCCTCCTCGGCCAGCAGGTTCCATGGGTCCCTTCCCCCACTCGGTCTTGTTACAGGGAGCAGCCCCTAGAATGACTTAATTTATCTGTGTCTGAATGGAAACTCCGAGAGCATAGGCTGTTCTGTTCACAGCTATAAGGTCAGAGCCCAGAGCAGAACCAAGCTTTCGAGTTCATTTTAAATCGTTTGCTTTTTACACAGAGTCTTGCTATGTACCCCAAGCTTGTCTTGGGAAATTCTGCTTCAACTTGCTGGGTGCTGGAGTTACAGTTGTGGCCTACCAGGCCCAGCAAGGTCAGTCACATTTGATGGCCTTGCACCTTGGAGCCCCTGCCAAACTCAGGCAGGAGCTTTACTCTTCCAACTGTCCCTGAACCCTGTGAACTGAGGTGCTTCCAGGGAGATCATTTTATTTACCACTCTGCAGCTGGGGCACAAACAGGATGAGGCTCTGAGATCTGTGGGAAAGGACTGAGCTGGGTAGATTCACCCAGCAACAATGATAGCACAAGCCTGTATTTCCAACACTTGGGAGGTTGGGGCAGCCCAGTCTGAGCTGCATATGAAGACCTGGTCTCAAAACCACGGGAGTAGAGAGGTTGAGACCACTTGCTGTTCTTCCAGAGGATCAAGGTTCGATTCCCAGCACCCTTTGATTCTAGCAGTGAGAAAGCGGAGGCAGGTGGATTTCTGTAAATTTGAGGCCAACCTGCTCTACATAGTGAGTTCTGGAACAGCCAGGGCTACATATTGAGACTGTCTCAGAAACGAAAGAAAATCTTTTGTAAGAGTTGCTGGGTATGGTGGTGCAAGCTTTTAACCTGGCATTTGGAAGGCTAAGTTTAAGGCCAAAATGGTGTTGGGTTCCAGACCAGCCTGGCCTACATAAAAAGATCTTGTTTTGCCGGGCGGTGGTGGCGCACGCCTTTAATCCCAGCACTTGGGAGGCAGAGGCAGGCGGATTTCTGAGTTCGAGAGTTCGAGGCCAGCCTGGTCTACAGAGTGAGTCCAGGACAGCCAGAGCTATACAGAGAAACCCTGTCTCGAAAAAAAAAAAAAAAAAAACAAAAAAAAAAAAAAAAAAGATCTTGTTTCAAACTCTGCCCCCCAAACAAAACCAAAGAACCCAAAATACACCTGAATCCCAGTCTTCCTGTGAAAAGGCACCTGATGACTGTTGGGGGAGGGGTGGGTAGAACTCCAGGTGTTACCAAGGCCACTCAGCCATGTGACCAGCCAAGGAAGACACATTCTAAGCAGGGGAGGAGGTAGCCCTGGGCCTACAGGGTGTGTGTGTGGGGGGGGGGGGGAAGCACTGGCTGGGACCCAGCTGGGAACTGGTACACTTAGTCAGCTCAGAACCCTGAGGACCTGTGTTAGGTCCCAGACCCCAGCTCCCACTTCAGTGTGGGTTCTCTAAACACTGACATCATCCTTGAGGCTGATTAGACTTTGTGAGCCACACAGGCTGAAAGAGCCCCCAAATCAGGCTGGGGAGATACTTCAGCAGGTAACAACAGTGCTGGATGCCAGTTAGATCCCTCAGAACTCACACTAAATGCATACATGCGCGTGCGTGCACGTACACACACACACACACACACACACACACACACACACACACACACACGGTAGTGCACATTTGAAATCCCAGATAGGCAGATTCCTTGAGACTTATTAGCCAGTCGTTAAGTCTAATTAGAGAGCATCAGATTTGGGGAGAAGGGTCACTGGGTAAAGTTACGACCCGAGTTCAGCCACCCAGCACCAATACAAAAAAAAAAGAAAAAAACTCTTCATTAACCCTGACGCTGTGGGAGATGAAGGACAAGGGGACCCAGGTGGCTTGGTGGCCAGCCCAGCTTTGAGAAAGCAGACAGCTCTAAGTTCAGTGAGAGACCCTATTAAAAAAAAAAAAAAAAAACCAAAGTAAGCCGGGGATGGTAGCAACTCTACTCCTAGCACTCCAGAGGCAAAGGCAGATGAATCTGTTCGGTCAAAGCCAGCTTGGTCTACACAGTGAGACCCTGTCTGTCATGGTTTGTATATGTTCCTTGCAGGGAGTGGCACTATTAGGAGGTATAGCCCTGGTAGAGAGGGTGTGTCACTGTGGGTGTGGGCTTTAAGACCCTCATCCTAGCTGCCTGGAAGCCAGTATTCTGCTAGCGGTCTTCAGATGAAGATGTAGAACTCTCAGCTCCTCCTGCACCATGCCTGCCTGGACGCTGCCATGTTCCTGCCTTGATGATAATGGACGGAACCTCTGAACCTGTAACCCAGCCCCAATTAAATGTTGTCCTTAAGAGTTGCCTTGGTCATGGTGTCTGTTCACAGCAGTAAAACCCTAACTAAGACACTGTCTTAAAAATCTGGGAGAGCGGAGCATACGGACACACAGCTGAAATGCCAGGGCTTGGGAGGCAGAGGCAGAGGGATGGATGTCTTTGAGTTCGAGGCCAGCCTGGTCTACATGGTGAGTTGCAGGACAATAACCAGAGCTATACTGTAGGACCCTGGCTCAGAAAAGCAAAGCAATCACAACAAAACTGAGCTGAGGAAGGCAAGCTCTGGTCTCCACACACAACCTAACAGACGAATACGGACGTCTGCATACGTGTGCACTACCCACCGCCATACTCCCAAAGCCCTAAGGTCCAAGTTACCTTCCATGAGAACCAAAATCACATCTCTCAGGATGGTCAGCGTTGTCCCCAAGACCAGGACAGAGAAGAGGAAGGTGCAGATGGGGTCCACGTACTTGTACTCGGGCTGCAGGAGAAAGAGACAAACCCGGGCCTCGTCAGCATCAGCCTGGGGCTCCCTATTTCTCTCCCAGAAGCACCGTATCAGGGGAGGTCTCTCTTCAGGGCGAGTACAGGCCTTGTTCTGGCCCTGTCTTTCAATTTTCTACTCTATTCTCCATCAAGAACAGCTCAGGATATACCTTCCTAAAGAGCTGAGACATAGGCGGAGCTAGAAAGAAATCTCAGCATTTGATTCACCATTCCCATTTTACAGGTAGAAAGACTGAGGTTCAATGAGACCCAAGCAATTCATTCATTCTGCAACTCTAGCCACGCAAGTGGCTCTTTCTACATCCCACTGCCTGTGTGATGAGCAATGCTGCGGCTTCAGCATCACAGTCTTGGGCTTAGATCCAGCTTCACAGCCTATGTGAAACTGTACAAGTTACAGGACTTTAAAGAACCACATAGAAAACAACCGCCCACCTTAAAGACTTGTAGCCATAAAAGGTGCCAAGACTTGCTAAGTATTAAATCACTATTCCTCCCCTTTCTCTACCCTCTCATCCCAAACTGTAGGGAGCTCAGCATGGAAAAAGCCCTGTGCAGAGAGAGGAGCCCCAGGGACTGGCCCGTCCATCTCCCTGTGTCCAGTTCTGACCTTGAAGTATATGATATAGGCCGCCACCAAGACGCCGACACTCTGCAGAAGGTCCCCAATCACGTGAATGAAGGCAGCTCGGACACTGGGGTTCTGCTCCTGGCTGCTGTTGTCATGGCTGTGCCCATGGCTGTGGCCATGTCCAGACTGATGGAGGGCCAACCCCATTCTGTGGAGGCAGATAAAGCCCAGGGGCTCCATGAGGTTTCAAGTCAGCCAGGCACAGTCTACCCATTAGGGCTGGCCTCCCCGACAGTGAAACTCTGAAGTCTCAGCACTCAGAGGCCCTCTTAGGCTTAGCAATCTAGTTCTACAGCCTTGGCTCAGTGCCACAGGGCAAAGAGCTCTGCCTAGGCTGTCTGGGCTCAATCTCCAGAGCTGAATCTCAGAGCAAGCGGACAATGAAGTCAGCAGGTTCACCCCATCACGTTACAAGTGGGAAGACAGAGAGTGAGCACACAAGACAGAAGGCCCACAAACCCACGCTCTGCCCACCCTGCCATTCCTACCGGGACCAGTCTTTGCCCTGTCAGCCTAATTTAGCCTCTGTCCCAGCATGGACCAGATATACCTGTTTGCTACGGATGGCCTTCAAGGTTATTCTTAGACACAAAATGTGGGCGTGCATATCTGTAACCTCCCATTGTTAGCTTACAAGTGGTTCCATTAGGCTCCTCCCAGGGACCTAGCAATGGCTTCTGTCATGTCTGCCAGGTGTGTCAGGTGTGGGTCACATATAAAAGGACTGCTGGCCATTCCAGCACTTGCACTTGTGTGCACATTCTCTCTCTCTCCTTCTCTGCACCCCTCCTCTCTTCTCTGCCCTCTTGGCTCTGCTCCTGTCTGTCTACATGTCCACTCCTCTGCCTCTACCCCTTCCCAGGTCCTCACTCCTCTCTCTTCCCCCAATAATCCCCCTTATACCAGGTCTGCCGCATGGCATTAATTACTCAGGGGCACACCTTGGCATGGGCCTGCCAGGTACCCACTTGTTCCATTATATTCCCTAATACCCATGTCCTTGGGCCAAGGCCTAAAGGAAGTTGATGTGGAGCAGGCCCCGGAACTCAAAACCATGAGGGAAATTCTGTCCTAATGGAATGCCTTAAACTGTAAACCCGGCATTTACAGGTACTGAAGGGGAAGCACAGAGTCCTTCCCTTGGGAGCTGATAGAGGTGACAGGGGTGGTGTGGGGTATGTGTGTGTGTGTATTACAGGGAACTGGGGCCACACTCACATGATGTTCACAGCTACAGCACAGCCTGAAGTGATCAACATGGTGTCCCCTTTGATCTCATAATCTCCAGAAATCAACCGCTGCACAGCCAGGTACACAAGCACCCCAGTCACCACCCAAATGGACAGCACAGACAGCAAGGCTCCAAGGATCTCTGGAAAAGAGCCCAACCACAACAACAACCTGAGCCTGGGGTACTAAGGGTGGACAGGACCTACGTACTTCATGCTAGGCCCTCCCACTGTGAAGTCAGGGCCTGGGTCTCTCTGTCAGCTCCTTAAGACCTGTCTCATGTCACCAAGGACGTCTGACATCAACATGGTGTCTGTTGTCAACATCAGAGCTAGAGTCACCTAGGCCAACCTTGTTTGCTCTACATGGGAAGAAACAGACACTAATGTATATCGTAGCTAGCATGCTGGAGACCATCTCTAATCCTAGAATATGGGCATGAGGCAGGGGCCTGCCTGGCTTTGATATCCTCCCTTTCATGTTTCCTTAAGGCCACATTATGTAAACCAGGCTAGCTTTGAACTTAAGAGAGTTGTCTGCCTCTGCCTCCCCTGTGCTAGGATTAAGAGTATATGCCTAGGTTGTTTTTTTTTCCCCACCCTCAAATAAAGGTAGGGTCACCACCCACTTTAATTAAGGTAGCAGGCTAGAAGACCAGATGGAGCCGGCTCTCCCCACCCCCAGCCTGGAGTTACAGCTGTGAACAGCTTTAGTAAGTACATCTGTAGTAGGTGCTAACTGCTGGGCCATCCCAAGTTCCTTGTTTTGCTCATTGACAATTGGAGGCTGAGGACACCAGGCCATCTCTCCCTAAAGGGAAGCACCTGTGCCAACCCAGAAGCGAACTAACAGCGTAAGGCAGTGTGCTTACTAACTCTTCCTTCTCCCAGAGCTGAGCCCTAGTGACAGGCAATGCTACTGTCATAATTCTGGGCCACTACTTTCCAAGCAACGTGAACTTTGCTTCTCCATTAACTAGTACCTCCCAGATGACGGGGAGTTCCCAGGGGACAGAAGCCAAGGCTGACACTCTCTCCCCCCATAGACGCTTCACTCTTGGCCTTACTCAGGGATCCCCCTAAGAGACCTTGTTCTAGGGTGGCATTCCTGAGGTGCATTCCTAATTCTAGTTCTTGGGAGGCCCTGACATAGAATTACTATGAGTTTAAAGCCAGCCTGGGCTATAGAGTTTAAAGCCAGCCTGAGCTATAGAGTAGAAGCCAGCCTGGTCTACGGTATCAAGATCCTGTAAAGTGAAGTAAAAAGCTAGCTGGGTGGGGCACAAGCCTGGAATTCTAGGACTCAGGAGGAGGAGTCATGAGTAACAGGAATTAATGGGTAGCCTCCGTTACTTACAAGCTCAAGGCCAGCCTGGATTGCTAGAGACACTGTCTCATGACATTTAAAATTCCAAACAAAACCGTATTGTGATCCATATGTTTTCTCTTGATCAATCCCCACCTCTGGTCCACAGAGGATCCTTACCAGCTCGCTGCCAGCCGAAGTTCATGGTCTTGGTGGCCGGTCGGGAAGACACCCAGAGGGAGAAGAGGCTAATGAGCATGCTGGCAAAATCAGTGAGCAGGTGGGCCGCATCCGTCATAATGGCCAGGCTCTGTGCCAGGTACCCACCTGCAAAGTCGAGAGCCAGGACAGTGAGGTTCCCCCAAAGAGTCAGCTCCCCCAGATGTGTACAGCAGAGAACTCACAAGCCCTAGACGATGAGACACACCGGGTTCAAGTTCTCTGTATCTCTCAATTGTACAACATGGGCACCTGACATCCACTCCTGAGCCTCAATACGCCTGTGGATGGCGTTCACTCACGGCTTCTCGCAGGCTCAGGCAGCTAGAGCACACCTTTAATCCCAGCAGAGACGGGAAAATCTCTGACTTGAGGCAAACATGGACTACAAAGCAAGTTCCAAGCCAACCCAGGGGGCTACACAGAGGAACTCTGTGTGTGTGTGTGTGTGTGTGTGTGTGTGTGTGTGTGTGTGTATGGTGAAACCATTAAACCCAGCATTCAGGAGACAGAGGTAGGTGGATCTCTCTGAGTTCAAGGCCAGCCTGGTCTATAGAGTGTTCGTTCCAGGACTGCCAGGGATACAGAGAAATCCTGTCTAATTAAAAAAAAAAAAAAAAAGGAGGAGGAGGAAGAAGAAGAGGAAGAGAAGAAGGAAAGAAAGAAAGTGCAAAGAAAAGAAGAGAAGAAAATTTCTCCACCGGCGATATGAGCTAATTCAAGCAGATTAAAGTATAGATTATTGTATATAGTATACAGCAGGCTTATTGGAAAACCTCTTAGGCAGCTCTTAGAGTGAGTTTGTTAGTCCCAAGAATGAGGCCAGGGAAGCTACCATGGGGAGGGAGATAGAGGGGAGGGAGGAAGAAAAAGAGAGAAAGTGTGTGGCAGAGAGAGAGAGAGAGACAGACAGAGAGAGACAGACAGAGCGCTCAAGCAGGGTACCAAAATGATGTCTGGATTACATAGGAAAGAGCCTCTGGGGGAGAGGTTCAGCCCCCTGGGCTGAAAAGTTCAGGGTAGAGGACAGAATTTGCCGGGTAGAGACTGAGGGACGCTGGGAGAACCTGGAGGCCAGGTTCACGTTGTTAAATATGCACCTCAGCTGTTTGTCTCAGATCTTAATCCCAGCAGACAGAAAACCAAATTCACCTAGGGATAGGAAAGCAAAGCAGGGCCTCAGTAGTGGTTCTTCTTATCTCTTTTATTATTAACTTAAGTGTATGTGTTTTACCTACTTGTAAGTATGTATCTATGTATACCATATGCCTGGTGCCCGCAGAAGCCACAAGAGGGCACCCGATTCCCTGGGACTAGAGTAACAGATGAGTCACCATGTAGGTGCTGGGAAGAGGTGCAGGACCTCTGGAAGAGGTGCAGTGCTCTAACTACAGTCATGGCTCTAGCCAAGTGATTGCCTTAAAAAAAAAAAAAAAGTTAGCCCGTCAACAGTTGCACATGAATGGCAGAGACAGACAGATCTCTGAGTTCGAAGCCAGTCTGGTCTAGGAGGGAGTTACAACATCCAGTGCTACACGGAGAAACACTGTCTCGAAAAAAGAATAAACAAGTAAATAAATATGGTTGGTTATGGTGTCACATACCAACACTCTAGAAGCAGAAGCAGTCAGATCTGAGTTCCAGGTTAGCCAGGTTATTTATTTATTTGTTTATTTATTTATCTATTTTGGTTTTTTCGAGACAGAGTTTCTCTGTGTAGCCCTGGCTGTCCTGGAACTCACTCTGTAGACCAGGCTAGCCTCGAACTCTTGAACTCAGAAATCCGCCTGCCTCTGCCTTCCAAGTGCTGGGATTAAAGGCGTGCGCCACCACCGCCCGGCTAGCCAGGTTGTTAATGTGAGCACTCAGCCTATCAGGCTGCAACTTCACTTACTTCACACACATGGCCTTACCAACGATCTCTCCAATCATGAACACCAGGCAGATGGCAGAGGCCACATAGAGTTTTCGTCGGGCCCTCTGCTTCTCGGGGTCAGGGTGACTCCCAGAATCCTTCTGGGCATGGCAATAATGGTTGCTCTGGACAGCCAGCTCAACAGCGGGCAGGTCCACAGGAGGGATCCAGCTAGCTTCACTCTTCCACAGAGATCCTAAGAATGACCTGGAGGCAAGAGGAAGGACAAAAAAAAAAACAAACCGCTCAGCCGGAGGGAGGGGAAGGAGCCCTGGGCCAGTCTCTGGGAGTATTGCTGGTCTGCTGTTTCCAGAACAAGTAAGAACATTCCAGACCCCGCAGTGGCTGGTGGGTAAGCAGAGGTAAGCAGCCAATGTTACGAGGGGGATGGGGGTGGTACTGGGGAGGTGAGTCTTGGGACCTTGTTCTATGATTGTCCCCTCCTCCTCCACTCATTCCCAAGCTGAGAGGGGAGTCTTTGCGAACTAGCCAAAGGGCAGTCCGTCAGGTCGAGCTCAGAGAAAGAGCAGGGTTCTGGCTCAGACAGCAGATCATAGCTCAGCGCACCCGCGGGCACAGGGCCTCCCCACCTCAGGGCTGCCCGGGATCAAAGTACTGGACTGAAGGCGGGGTTCCAGGCACCCTAAGTCCCACTAGGGCGCACCGGCAGGCAGCGTTCAGGATCTGTGTGTGCTTGGCCAGGTGAGACAGGTGATCCCTGGGGCTACGAGGCCGCCGCCAATTTCCTTACTCTTACCTCACCCCATACCTCCGACCGGGTCCCAGTTCAAGCCCCCGCCCGGACCAACCACAGCCAAGACGGTCAAAGAGGAGGTGCGTGTGATGCCGCCCAGATTCCCGCCCCTTGGGGCTTGAACTTACCCGACTCCGCGTGTGCTCTCCAGCAGGTTCTGCTTGTCCATGGTCTGCATGCTGCCTCTCCTAGTGCGCCCTCGAAGTTGCGCGCGGGACGATGGCTGCTCGCAGTCACCTTCTACCTTCCGCTCCGGTCCTGCCGCTGCGCCCCGGGCCCGCCCGCTTTATCCCCGGCCCTGGCCACCTCGTGTGAAGCCGCCCGCCTCGCGTCGTGTGCAAAAGCCCTCGGGGAGGGGGGAAGGGTGGCCGGCTGCAAAGGAAATCCCGGCTCTGCCCCCAGGACCGGTCCCCTGCATCCCGGAGCCGGAAGGAGCGGAGCAGTCTGCGACCTAAAGCTTTTGCCTGGAGCAAAGAGGAAAGCACTTGCTAAGAGTTGCCCAGAGTTGCTCAGTTAGGACTGGGTGACCAAAACACCCACTCTCCCCCCACCCCCGGATCCCATAGGAAAAAAAGCCTTGGAATCTGGGTTTCTAGAAAATCAGCCCCTCGTGGTGGCACACACATTTAACGCCAGCCATGGGGAGGCTGAGTCAGGCAGATTTCTGGGTTCCAGGCCAGCCTGGTCTACAGAGTGAGTTCTAGAGCTACACAGAGTGTCTCAAAAAAAAAAAAAAAAACCTTAGAAAAAGAAAACAAAGAAAAAATCCTTTGATTGCCCTAGTGCCCTTAGAACAGGGATGTGACTGCTAGCAGCTTTGATGGGGGCTGCTGAGGGGGGAAGAGAGACTTCCTGGAGCTTGCTTCTTGGTTCGAGGGAGTGGCAGTGGGCTGGCAGATGCTCTTGCCCTGTGGCTGTGGCCAGGCCAGCGGGTCTGCCTCCCCTTGCTGGGGTGGTGCCCCATTATGGGGCTGTTTAGTTACAGATCCACTTTGAAAGTTCCTCCTGCCTTGCACTCTCTGATTGCGATCTGGAGTGGCCGCTTTATCTTCATCTCTACAAAGAACAGTGTCCTATCTCTTTAACGGATGTTATCTGGGGAGAACAGACACACTGCGGGAGCCTGTATACCCTAGAAGCCCAGCAAATTCCTGAGAGATGGTGTCGTACCTTCAACCGAGAAGACCACGCCCCACAAGTTTTCTCTTCCTTCCTTCCTTCCTTCCTTCCTTCCTTCCTTCCTTCCTTCCTTCCTTCCTTCCTCTTTTTCCTTCCCTGAGTCAAAGTTTTCTGTGTAGTCCTAGGTGTCCTGGAACTCGGCATACTCTGTAGACCAGGCTGGCCTCGAACTTAGAGATCCACCTGCTTCTGCCTCTCCAGTGTTGGGATTAAAGGCATGTACCACTATACCCAGCTTTCTCCATGTATTCTAAACAGTCTATTTTGGGGAGATTGGGCCCTGTGACTCACCCTCCCCCACTCTCCAGGGCTGACTGCAGATAGGTATCTCCTTCCTGTTGGTGATCTCTCCACTCTGTCACTCCATCTCCTAGAGTCTTCATGACCACAGCTTGGAAAGTGTAACTGGGGGAGTAGTTTGTTGATCGACTAGTTATGCACGAAGCCTTGGAACCTATCTCCAGTGGTGGAGAAGGAAGGACATTGATCACTATGGCCATGTGTAGCCCAGGCTAGAATGAGACTCTAGACCTGGTCTGGACAGGATGGGACTAGGGTAGTCGCTCAGCTGGTAGCATGCAGCCTGGAGTTCCAGCCGCGGCATCACGTTAACCGGGTGTGATGGTATACTGATTGTAGTCCCAGCTCTGCAGAAGTGCAGGCGAAAAGGGATCAGAACCTCAAGGTTTTCTTTGGCTATATAGCTACCTTGAGGCCAGCCTGGGGTACTTAAGACTTGCAAGCCCTGTACACCAAATGTACACCAAATTCTCTCAGTTAGAGAAGTGGGGAACAGAAGAAGCGAGTATATCTGGGTGCATAGGCCTGGAATTCAGCTAATGGGGAGCAAGGGATGGAAACTCTCCTCCCCTGGTGTGATGGTTTGTATATCCTCCGCCCAGGGAGTGGCACTATTAGGAGGTGTGGCCCTGTTGGAGTAGGTGTGTCATTGTGGGCATGGGCTTGAAGACCCTTATCCTAGCTGTCTGGAAGTCAGTATTCTGCTAGCAGCCTTCAGATGAGGATGTAGAACTCTCAGCTCCTCCTGCACCATGCCTGCCTGAATGCTGCCATGTTCCCACCTTGATGATAATGGACTGACCCTCTGAACCTGTAATCCAGCCCCAATTAAATGTTGTTCTTATAAGAGTTGCCTTGGTCATGGTGTCTGTTCACAGCAGTAACACCCTAACTAAGACAACTGGCCTGCCTGGGTTAGGACTGAGCACCTGGGTGGGCCCTTAGCACCTGTGAAATTAATTAAAATAAATAGGAGAACCCGACAAGATCACACTGGCCGCAATCCTTGGGCAGAAGGCTAGCCTGAGCAATTTATTGGGACCCTGTCCCAAAGTGAAAAAGGACTGGGGTGTGAGCTTGGTGGTAGAGGACCCAGACTAGGCACAATCCCTGGTCCTGTAAACATGGATTCAGTGAGAGGCAGCAGGTGCTGTCCTAGGGAGTTAACAGGACAACCAGAGATTACTGTCACACCTTACTTAAGGTAGAAAGATTGTGACAGTGGGTTAGAGCACTCCTTTCTCCTGGGTGCAAAACATAAATTCTCAATGGTTTGGTTTTAGTTTTTCTTTTCTTTTTTTTTTTTAAAATTTATTTATTGTATGTAAATACACTGTAGCTGTCTTCAGACACCCCATAAGAGGGCATCAGATCTCATTACGGATGGTTGTAAGCCACCATGTGGTTGCTAGGATTTGAACTCATGACCTCTGGAAGACCAGTCAGTGCTCTTAACCACTGAGCCATCTCACCAGCCCTGGTTTTAGTTTTTCAAGACAAGAGTTTTTCTGTGCAACAGACCTGGCTATCCTGGAACTTGATTTGTGGCCCCGACTGGCCTTGAACTCACAAGAGATCTGACTGCTTCTGCCTCCCAAGCACTGGAACCAAAGGTGTGCACCTCTGATTTATTTTAAATCCATATCCCAATATGCATGGGTATTGTAATAAATGTACACACACACATATGTAATCAGTTTGGCTTGGCTTGTTGGGGCTTGAGACAGTCTCCCTATGTAACTGAGGCTGGCTTGGAATTTGACATCCCCTTGCCTCAGCATCCTTAGTACTGGGATTACAGGCTAATGTCATACCACCCAACTAATTCCTACTGGTTTTAGTTTTGATTTTTTGGAGACTAGATCAAGCCAGCCCAGGCTGATCATGAATCTTCTGAGGGTGACCTTCAGTTACTGATCTTCCTGCCTTCCTCTCCCACCAGAAGCCACAGAAATTCTAATCTTAGAAGCTGGTTATAAAAGAATCCTCCAGCCTGACCAAGCAGAGAGGCCCTGCCCAGTGTCTGGAATGAGGAAAGCGAACAGACAGGCTCTGCTTAGTTTTGTCACCCGGCTATTAACATTGGATCTCACTTCTCTCATCCAATCAAATCTCTCAGGGTTGCAATTTAATTGTGCTTACACAAGAGCTTCTCCAGTACACACATGCGCGCGCACACACACACACACACACACACACACACACAGGGACAGAGTTCCAGAAACTTCACATAGCAAACATAGGAAGGTTCCTGGATGCTGTTGGGCCTAGAGAGGGCATGGAGTGACTCTCCCCCTTTCTGTTCATCCTGCCCTCTGTTCATCATGATATCCTTTATAATGAAGTAGTACAGGTCAAGTTAGCATTTCCCTGGGTTCTTAGCAAGTTGATGATACCGTGGGAGAGAAGCCACGAGAAGATAAAACAACCTGGAGCTTGTGCTTGGCGTCCAAAGCTCAGCCTTGAGAGTTTAGCAGGGGAAACTGCACTTGAATTTGGCTTTTCCCTGTTTCCTCAGAAAGAATATGAATTGATTTGGAAGAGTTTGTGTTGGGGATGTAGCTCAGTAATAGAGTGGGGCTAGCATTCTTGGGGCTTAGGGTTCAACAGACACACACACCCTTACCTAAACAAAAATTTCATTCAAAACTTCAACAAGGCAGGTGGGGTCAGTGGTTAAAAGCGGACTTCAAGCCAGGAGGTGGTGGTTCATGCTTTCAGTCCCAGTGCTTGAGAGACAGCGGCAGACCAATCTACACAGCCCGAGTTCCAGGACAGCCAGGGCTACACAGAGAAACCCCATCTCAAAAAAACAAAAACAAAGAAGAGGACTTCAATTCTCAGCATCCACCAGGGATATAATCCCTACCCACCATCTGTATGGCAGTTCCAGGGGATCCAGTGTTCTCTTCTGGCGTCACTGGTGCCTGACACACATTCGGTGCACTTACATACAGGCAGCACAGCCCATCTATACACATAAAATAAGACAAAGAACCCAGCACTTAGAAGACAGAGGCAGGAGGTTATTTGTGAGTTAGAGGTCAGCCTGGTCTACATAGACACGCCCTCAAAAATAAATAATAGATAAAAATAAGACTTCACAAGATTGGTAGCACCTGGCAGATAAGGACAAGAGAATTAGGAGACCAGGATATCACCTTGATAGTGAGTTCAAGGCTAGATCCCAGGTACAGGAAACAAAAGAGAAGCTGAATATGCTGTGGAGCAGCTTCCTTCTAGATCAAAGCCTTGTGTCCTGAAAGGAAGCTAATTCAGATGCAGGATGTTAAAGGAGAGGTAAAATAACAGGATATTTTAAGAGAGGATGCTTATGGAGAGGTGAAAGAACAGATATTCTGTGGAGGAAAGTTCCTTAAGCTTAGGAAGTAAACAACTCAGTAGTCTCAGGAAGTTCCTGAAACTGACCAGATTCTCTAGGCCCATCCTTTCTCAAGCATAAATAAGCAGTGCCTGATTACAGGAAGACACTCTGAGATGAGCTGATCTGCCCGAGAGAGTCATACTAGAAAGCTGGGCACTGGTGGTGCATGCTTTTCCTCCTGGTACTTGGGAGGTGGGGGTAGGCAGATTTCTTTATATTCGAGGCCAGCCTGGTCTACAGAATGAGTTCCAGGACAGATAAGGCTATACAGAGAAACCCTGTCTTGAAAAAAAAAAAAAAAAAAAAAAAAAAGAAAGAAAGATCTTACTAGAAGCAGAAGCCAGCTGGGCTGCCAGGAAGAAGCTTTTCCAACTTAACTGCCTGGAAAGGACCCTCTCCAGCCTGCTGAGCTGACTGTGTGTTAGGCCTAATGATCCAGATTTCCAACGTTTGACCTGCCGTCAGTGCTGAAGTGGGATGTTTGTGATGCTCCTGTCTGAGTCATTGCCGTCCTGGAGGAAACCTCTCACCCACATTCCTGTAAGTAACCCAG